AATAATTAACATTAAATCAGGTAAAAAAAAAAATAAAGGAAGGGAATAAAATAATGGGCATGTTTGTTGTGTTATTTATTTGCTCTGCGATCAACTTCAACTTCACCATCATCTTATGACAACCACGGATCATTAGCCATGGCACCACCACACAGCATATATATATATATATATATATATATATATATGAAGAAACCAACCCCATCCCCTCTTAAGTTCCATTGTCCATCCAAGTTCAACCACAGAATTCTCTTAACTAGGGGATCATGTAATTATAATGCATTATATACATACACACACATATACACATATACATATACATATATATATATATGTATATATATGTCAATATAGAAAGGTTCCTATACTTCATTGTCCTCATCTATGTATTTAGCAGTCTTTGAGAATTATGAGATTTCCAAACAAATGTAATGTGACATGAATTATATGATTCTGACATACACTCTATGTTACTATTTTAAAAAATATATGTATATATATATATATTAAAAACATGAACTTTCAATATATAATTAATAACTTAACTTTTAAATTATGATTAGTGGGTCTAATATGGATTAGAATTCATAATTTTTTTTAAAAAAAATAATAAAACAATTTTCACGTCATATAATTAGGAAAAAATAATAACTCAATTAATGAACTTAAAACTTTTAAACAAAGCTTATAAATTATTAGATACTAGAGGGTACAGAAGTTTCGTTTTCCTAATTCAGTTTCTAATAGTTTGGATGACTAGTGGTTCGGAGAGAAATACATACATACATACATACATATATATATATATATATATATATATTACTTGAAGTGATCAATTGATATAGATTAAGTTGATAGGAAGGGAAGAAGAAGTCCCTAGATATTTCATCTAAATAAAGGTGGTAGAGGGGGGAGGGGGTCCCATCCACGAATCAAAAGCACTTTGATACAAGTTCAAAAAGTTTTAGAGATACGGCTTATTCTGGTCCCCATTATTAATGATTGATTTTTGAATCTTTGATATAATTCATTCGGTTTCTTTTCTTTTTGACTCTTTTTCCAAACCATACCATTCATTACTTTTGCATTTAAGTTCATAAGAATCTTACCAAAATTTTGCAGAATACCTCCGACTTATTTTATATTGCACTACAATGTTTATAAATGACATGTAAAAAAATAAGCGTGACCGTGAGAACGGATTAGATTAAAGTCGTCGTCACTTTTGATTTTTAAGAACATAAATTTCTGATAAGCCAACTTATTCTTCAAAATATTTGTATACAGATTTTTTAATAACTATCAAATCTGAATCAAACTTTATATTATCTTTACCACTTTTTTTTTAATTCAAATCGTCTCAGTTTAACTGTTTTAATTAAACTAGATTAGTAACTTTGAAACTAGTTTAAAATAAATAAGTAATCTTTTAACATTCGCTGCATCATGCTTGTAAGAATTAAAAAAGAAAAAAAGAAAATAGTCTGTTTCATCAATTTTTGTGGTTTATATATGGACAAGAAAAATAATATTTTAGACTTTTTCAAAAGTATGTACAAAAAAGTTGTCATCAAATAATTAAAGATTCATATTGCAACTCTCCATGTAGCAAGTTGAAGCTGCCCAAGAATAATTAACAATTTGTTTTCTTGCACCGATTCCACATAAGAAGAAAGCGAAATTACTTTTTCTTCTTAAAAAAGACTTATCAACAACAAGATATATGTAGGGATGGCCAAAAAAAAAAAAAAAAGAAACTAACCTTCTAATTCTATCCCAATCCATTGAATACTTAGGTGTTTTTATTCGAATTAGACTTGGATTGAACCGGATATTTTAACTCACTCAATTAGGGTAGATCCGGGTTTGGATTTTACAAAACATGTCTCCAAATAATATATTATCTTACACATATGAATAGAATAAAACGAGATATTAAGAATGTAATTAGAAGTTTATTTCTTCTTTAAACTTTCATTTTTCTATTTAAATTGCATAACAAAAGGGATATATGGTCTAAACCAAAATAATTAGTTTAAATTTAATTGAAATATTGGAGATTATTCGTGAAAATAAAATTTGACGTCATTTTTCTTTAATCTATTTTACAATTTTATATTAAGAGCAACATAAAATATGTAAATATAATCTCAAAAGTTTTAAGGAAAAAAAAAATTATTAAATATTTGGAGCTGTCGATTCAGGTTTGTAGTCGATCATGTCATGGAATAAGAGAAAGGGAAACAGACGCGTAATTAATAATTTTCAAATCAGAGAGAGAGAGAGAGAGAGAGGTTTGGTTAAAAAAAATCTGTCAAGATTGGGAGACATCTTAAGCCAAAAGTGCTTCGCGTTAAGAGGCAATGATTTAGACAATACAACAACACTGATATATATATATGTGTGTGTGTGGGTGTTTATCATCTCTGTCACTAATCCATATATATATATATATATATGTGTGTGTGTGTGCACATGAGTGTGTGTTAGACGATAGCGAGTAAGGAAGAGGTACATTGGAAGTGCTGCCTGTTTGAAAGGTTTGTATTATAGTAGGCGGAGAAAAGATGCGAAGCATGGCTAGCTCCATCTCCAGCAAGGGCATAGCTGCCATTGTAGGCGTTGGTCCGAAGCTCGGCCGATCTATCGCTCATAAGTTCGCGCATGAAGGCTACACCGTCGCTATCCTCGCTCGCGACCTCGGTAACTAAATTCTTCTGATCCTAATTTTGACATTTGTAATTCAAATTTTGATTTACAAAATGGAGTGACAGGGAGATTGTCGAGATTCGCGGAGGAGATAGCGAGGGAAGAGAAGGCGCAAGTGTTTGCAATTAGAATCGACTGCTCGGATTCAAGAAGCGTGAAGGAAGCGTTCGAAGGAGTATTGTCACTCGGATTCGTGGAGGTTTTGGTTTACAACGCGTACCAGCCAGTGCCTTGGCGACCTACAAACTTCACCGACATTCCTCTCGATTCCTTTTACAAATCTCTCGCCGTCTCCTCCATCGGCGCTTTCCTCTGTGCTCAGCAGGTACTCTATTGAATTTCACACTAGCACTAATTCATAAAACTCGTACCATCAGGAATTAATTTAACGAATATCTTCTTGTTTCGGTGGTTTGAAATTTGGTGAAATACTGAAAAAGGTTCTACCAGGAATGGTGGAGAGAAGAAGAGGGACCATTCTGTTCACAGGCTGTGCGGCGTCGCTCAACGGCATAGCTGGTTTCACTGAATTATGTAATTAAAATTATCTCCTCTGATATTTTCAATATATATATATATATATATATATGTCGTTGAATGTTTGATTGATGTTGATGATTACAGTGATGTAAAGTAGTAATTTACTATGATGAAACAGGCTGTGGGAAATTCGCGCTGAGAGCTCTGTGTCAATGCCTGGCTAGAGAGTTTCAGCCTCTTGGTGTTCATGTAGCTCATGTTATCATCGACGGTATCATTGGCCCATCCAGGTAGACCCTCAATTTTCTTTCTTTCCGTTTTTGCTTTCTTTCCCTTAAAGGCTATGTTTTTTATTAAATTTCAGTTGATATAAAATACCTCTTCATATATATATATATATATACACACACACACAAATATTATATATATAGCTATATCTACTGAATCTGTTCAAAGTTACAACAATATTTCAACGGCCACTGAGGAAATGAAGAAATGAAAAATTCTTAATTAAGTTAGTAAATTTCAAAATTGCCCATTTAAATTATAAACACAAAACGCGACCATTTCCTCCAATCGTCGAACGCGGTTGAGGCCGGTGGAACTCCTACTCCCCCCAACCCTCCAATCCAGCAATCGCACTTCTTCTTCTCTCTTTCCTCTTCTTTTTCCTTTTTCCTTCTTCCTTCTTCCTGTCACGCATATACAAGTGATTGTTTGTGTATACATACACATACAAAAAACCGTATGCTATAAGTTGATTATATATACATAACCATTTTTATATAAAATGAAAAGAAGTTTTGAAATTTGAAGAACGAAAAACGATTGTAATTATTGAAATATCTTCTTTTTTTTTTAATTCTTATATTTTTGTATTATTTTAATATCTACAATTATTGTTACCCAACATAATAATTTCTGTCTATAATATTTTTAATAATTATTTTTACTATACATCTATTAAGTTTCTAATAAGAAAATATTTTTGCTTGAAAATTATTTTAACAGCATCTTTTTTATTTATTATTTATAAATTAGTGGTTTAAGAAATTATTTATAAAATTTTTAATAATCATTGAAATTTGTCTTCTACCATCAAAATAATTTCTATAAGAACCTATATTCAGAAGACAAAAATTTAGGTTAAAAGAGGAAAAAGAAAGAAACTGCAGAAAAAGATTTTCTTCTTTTTTAGTTGAGGAAATTAATAATAAGGGCTAAAAGTTGATGAAATGAAATTAAAGAAATGGACGGGTAAGTTGATGATGAGCAATAATTGAAAGTGGGGAATGAAATGAAAATGCAGGGGGCTAACAGTGACGCAGAGAGGGTTGGTTGGGGAGCAACAACAGAGCGGAAGGGCAGAAGAAGGGTCCACGATGATGGACCCTGACTCACTGGCTCAAACCTACTGGCACCTCCATGTTCAGGACCGGACCGGTTGGACCCAGGAAATCGATCTCCGTCCTTCCCCTTCTCGATTCTACTAAATTCCACTCGTTATAATTCTTTTCTTTTTTTTTCCTTTTCTAATTTACCACCCCTTCGTCATGTCAGTTCAATCAATAATTCGTTAATGCTACCATAACATTTTTAAAAAAAAAAAAAATCTCCATTGCTGTGTCATGATTTATGAGAGATGAGAATGTGGGGGAAGAGTCAGTCTGCATGTATATGTAAAGTGTGATCTGAAAGTTCAATGTTTCTGTCATGAATTTCTTAAATATATGTCATTTGCAGTGTGATTGTGAAATTATTATCTGTTTTTTTTTTTTATTCAATCAGTTATTTTATAATAAGCGACTAACTGTTCAGTTTTAACTAAATTTTGTAAAAAAAAAAAAAAAAATTGGAAGATGATTTATTATTATTTTTACGATAATTAATTAGTTTATCTTGTTAAATTTAATTGTAAATCAACGGATAAAGTTGGAGGGGATCCAGCGGGGTTGAGGTGGGACCCTATGGTAAAGAAGACGGATCCAGATTTGCTTGGACAATAGAAGGACTTCGTGTTCTAACTAATAACACACACAAGCTTTGATATGTATGTGTGTGTATAGAATTATGTGTGCACATATCTTCATATTCATACGGACAAATGAGGGGAGATGGTGGGGTATTTTAGTTTTTGGTAATGAGCCGTCATTTAAGTCCGATCATGGTCTGTACAATAAACAAGCGGGCTGAACCTATCACCGTACCCACCTCAATCATATAATTTACTCTCATTTGCTCCACCCACCCGTACCATTTTCCAATAATCATCCAAAACTCTTTCTGACATAACTTTCCCCGTTTTTTCCTTTTGATATAAATAACTTATACAATTTTAAAAATTATTTATTTTTCACTTATAGATCATACAATAAAATTTATTTAGCCTTTTTTAATTAAAATATTTACAAAAAAACTTTTAATAATGCTGATTAGCATAATATATATTAATTCATGATTCTCCCTTCTTAATATATATTTCATTCTTATCATAATACTGTAAAAATTTCATTACCATATTTTACGCAAATTTTTCATAATTTTTCAATAATATGATAGGACATGCTAAATATTTTATTATATAAGAATAAACTTTACTCTACAGACAACACTTTTCACCATATTAGAGTTTAATAGAACAAGTTTATATTCATCTCATGGATCTTTAATTCAACACTTTTTTTTTTTTTTTTTTTTATGACTGTGGTAGCCTACTCTGACATACCTAGGAAAATAATTCATTCAAGCAAAGCTCCTCAGTTAGATGAGACTTCCATTCACAGGTAACTTTGTGCATAGAAAGTTAAAAATGTAAACCATCAGTTGGATAAGAAAATTGAAATATTCAATTAGCCAAAGCAAGGATTAATTGAGAACAGAAATAAATATCTATGATGGTCCATGCAAGAGCATGAATGGAACTGACATCCGGTGAATTGAATAAGCCGTTCATGTTCAAACAAACCACCAAATTAGCTTGTTTGGTTCAATTCAATTAATTCCTTACGCATTTGATTACTGGAGTTGGGCATAAATTTCAGACATGCTACCATAATTGAATGGTAAATGGATATTAATTGGATTAAACAAAACATTGGTGATTCTCATCCATATAAAAAGCAAATGGAACTAAAATTACTTATGGTTGTATAACACATCTCAACAAATCATTGAATATATGAACCAGAAAACCAAGCTTTGCACAAACTGCTACCTTAACCCTCCTCCGACAAGGTTATTCATCTGACAAAAGAAAATGTGCATCATTTAGGACCACCAAGAGGAAATAATTCATGGCGAGATATAAACCCTTAAATGCATATTACAACTTCACAGGGTACCTATTCCCTGGCTGTCAAGGGAGATTCCATTAGGAGAAGAAAATGCAGCCGCCGAACCTCATGTCATGAAATCCTAACGGGAAATAGCCTGGAAACTGTTCTTTCTCTACCCATAAGCCTCTCTTCCTGAGGGAAACTGATATGATGACCTCGGAAAAGTTGCTAATTCTGCAATGCGGTTCAAATTCCTAACTTCATAGTTGTACCTAAATTGTGGAAAGAAATTGTGTGTAGAAGGGTTGAAAGAAGATGAGCTGGAGCCCCATCATAGAATGGTTTTTTACTATGGTTAAATTGCCTGTTAGATCCATAAAGATTTTGAAGAAGATTGATTGCTCTGGTTAAATGAGCTTGTTACATGAGCTTGTTTCGGATGCCTCCGTGGAGATTTAAGGTTCCTGACATTGGATTTTCACTCATCTGTCTCAGGTGAGAGGCAACTCGATACAGATTGTTACCCTTCCCTTTTCTCGTTGCATGCTTACCCTTCTCTGCTGCAGTTGATTTTCTTATTTGATGTGGTTTTACATAACAAACATGCTTTTGATGTTTGCCGCCTAACTATCATCAAAATAGAACTCTGTGTAAAACACACTTGTAAACAGCACCCTCGCCCAACCCTCCCCCCGCACCGGAAAAAGGAAAATAACCCTCTAATAAAAGACGTAACTCTCCATATACCTCCATTTTCACTACCAGACCGTGCCTTCCTTCTTTTCTTCATTGCTCTAACCAGTCTAGCTGCTGTACCTCGACTGTGCTTCTCAGCAAGTATCTTGTGTCTTTCTCCCTCATTATTCCAACGCTAAAATGAAGAAAAGAAAAAGTTCGTAAAACGAAATCTTGATAGGAAATTATCAAATAAATTGATATTAATCTAATTAACCTGTCTGAAAGTTTTCAATTTATAAAGGTTCCGGCCCTTCACAAGCAGGGGGAAAAGGGGGTGCAATTTCTTAATACCCTTGCTCCAGAGAACTTCAACCTAAGAATAACATTGGTAAAAAAGATAGGTCATTAAACACAAAAGTAGCCAGTGTATGGGAGAAAGTTATAAATCATTAAAATGTTGGTTATGGTCATTTATTCCAGTCAACCTGATATTCGAGAAACCCACAATATGCATCAGAAAGAACACTTTAAATTCACTCTCCTAAACAAGAATAACTTCTCAGCCTTACTGTGAATGTGTGTTGTTGTTTAGCTGCACCATAGCTTTCCTTAATAACCCTCCCAGCAACAGTTCTTTTTCCCAGAAGCCTCCCATGTCTCCTCACCTTATCAAACCTGTTTGAAATCAAATGGTTGATTTGCATAGGGAAAAGAAAACCTGAAATAAAACACTTCAGAAGACATGACTGAAGAACAAAGCTTGGACTAGGAAGTACTTTTCAAAAACCCTTTGCGTGAAGAGAACAACATCTCCTCGACAGACATCACCTACATTAACTCAGTTCATAAATCATCTCCGTAGAAAAGATTAAATGATTAGCAAAAAGACAGGAATATGGAAAAGACTCTACCTGTACAATTGATTATAAAAGACGATCTAGGATACAATTTTTCACCATTTCCATCTTTTATCCTGAGAAGTGAAGAGACAAAGGAAAAGTTGTTAACCGAATCATTCATAGAGCAATAATAGAAAGGGAAAAAAAATAAGGCTGTCTGATTTTTGGAAACAATCCATGTTTTTTTTTTCCATTTATTTACGCATTTGGTTGTCTACAAGGAAAAACTCTTCGGAAAATGAATACATAAAAGAACTGAAAACATGAAATAATATAAGATTGTTTTCACCTTTCCATTTTCATACTATGGTTTCCTAAACTTAACCACCACCAAACAAACAGGTTTTTGGTAAAATTTTGAAAATAAAAATCAAAACTGTTTTGTCTTCAATTTTTAACATAAAAACTGTACTATTTTTGTATTCCAAAAGCAGTTCAAGTTCCCTCATAATTCTTACCTCATTCTTTTATTGTCTTTAAATATTATACAAACATGAACTTGATGATGTCCAGAGACAACAATAGTGTTACTGATAGATCCTGCAGGGAGCTTTACTGCTAAAACAAAATAAGAGATGACAGCACCATATTCATTTTATAAAATGACTTACCTCCAATGTTCGAGGATTCTCTGCATACAGATAGCCTTTGTACCAGCTATTCTGAGGCCATGCTTCCTCAAATATGCTTTGCACTTTCTGACATTTAAGGCTTTTAAATCACCCCCTTCTACAGAACACGAGATCCAGAATGAGAATTAGTTTACAGAAAACACTAGTACATACTTTACAAATCTTTCAGTCACAATTGTCTGGAGATGAGAAGTAAACCATCACGGCAGTATATCAAGTAACACAAACAGAGGAAGTTAAATGTTAAAATTGTGAAATCATCAAAACCTCCTTTAGATTTTATTGTCATCCTTATAAAGAGAACATCACATGCAATGGAAGGAATAAGATCACCTCAAACTGATTTCCAATAAGAAATATAAATTGAAATTGGCACTTCTGCCTCTACCTTTCTTTATATGCCTACCAATAGGTAAAACAGATCAACCAGAATATGGATACATCTAGAGGCAAAGTAATATATATCTCTCACATAACAGTAGTCTAAAAGTGCAATGATATATACGATTTTGACTCTTCACGTGCTTACTTAAAAAAAAAAAATGTTTCATCTTATTTTCAGCAATGAAATGGACAAGAGAACAAAAAGACAAGGATGTAACACATCCAAACGAAGACAACGAACATAATCTGTAAATAGTTTTTTTATTCGTCGATTCTTTACATATAAGTTAAGACTCAGAATACACAATGTATCGTCAATAAAATTGACAAAGTTCTGATTAAATGCAACTGAAGAATGAGAATCAAAAATCCCAAACAGGTAGACCTTTCAGAAGGAATATGACTCTGTTGAAGAGAGACTCCTCGTCGTCCTCGTCTTCATCGTCTTCGTCGTAGTCTTCGTCGTCGTCGTCGTCGTCGTCGTCGTCGTCTCCCTCATTTTCCTCATCAGTTTCACGTCCATCGTCCCCACTCAAATCACTCCAATCTCCACTGACCAAGAAACGACACCAAACAATCAATCGACACTGGACAAAAACCGAAAACCTTGAATAGAGGGAACATAATAAATGAAACTGAAATTATGAATATAATAATCGATACCTGAAACTAGAATCGGTCCACTCTTCATCGTTATCTGTTTCTTCTCTCATCATCATCGTCGTCGTCGTCGTCTTGCCTTTCTTTTTTAGAGGGAGGAGGAGGAAAGAGACTGCGGAAAGGATGTTTCCCCTTCTTCTCCGCCATGTTAGCAAATCAGACAACGGAATTGCAGAAATAAGCAAGAAAATTTCTTCTTAATATATTATTATTTATGTTTTTTAAAAATTTTATAATTTTTTTCTATTTCTCATTTTACGACACCTATTTCTTTTTAATTTTTACATTTTCAAAAATTAAATTTTAAATATTTTTCAAAGAGACTTACATTAGTTTTAAAGGTATCTTAGGAAGAAATATTTACCCAATGTATATAAGTATCGTATTTCTATAATTACTTAAAAGTCTCAAATTCTTAATTTTCAATCCATAATTTAATAGCTTTTTGTGGATCTACCAACCTATTGTTGTTGCCTTTGGATGAACAAATCTTGCTTTCATCGCTCTGTGTTTTCACTTTTTCATTCTCTCCCTCTTGGGTCCATTTGCAATCTCTCTCTTTCTTTAGAAAATAAAAAAAAAATAAATTATGTTAGCTATGGTACCAGTCCGTTATAGTTATTTTAATTAAAAAATTTATACAATACATAATATTAATTATTATAATTTTATAAACACAATAATTAATTAAATTCTAAACTCAATAAATCAAATATTATGAATAACAATCATTAATATATAATATACTTAAAAAATAACGAGTTATGAGTATTTAATGAAATTCGAACTAGTAATTTTTAAATTGAATATTAAAAAATTTACTTGCTAGAGTTACGTACTGGGATCGCTGTACTGATTATTAAGTTATGTCAGAACTTTTTTGTAACGGACCTAGAAATTAAAAAGAAATGTATATATATTTATCTTAAGTGCGGAATCGAAATAAAATAGATTATGATTAATATACCTTACACAATAACCAAAACAAATTAAAGTATAAAAGAATAAACTAATTTAAAGAAAATACTATGAATGAATGCTATAAGAAAAACTAATAAATTCTTTGATTTCTACTCGCCATCTTCCTGCAGAACGAACTCGGAAAACAAATCCTCTGATTTGAAATGATTAAGTAAGGAATGAGCTACACTATCTCAATAAAAAAAAAAAATTTACTTACTAAAGTTACTTACTAGTTCGCCATACTGATTATTAAGTTATGTTAAAATTTTTTTATAATAAAAAAAAACATAATTTTGACCAAAATTAAGATTCGTAACAACTTATCTTGCATTTAATGATTGAATATAAAAATCAACCTGTTTTATTTAGCCTTTTGTTTATTAAAAGCTAAAGAGGGTCTCTTCCATTGAGCACCCCATGCAAATGCCAGATTTGCTAGTTTCCCCTCTTGCTTCCAAAAAGCAAAAATAGTAAATCATGTTCCCTTACTACCTCTGGGTCTGGTTGACATTTTCCACAAGAGCAACTTGCTCTTCGTATAATAGACCACCATTACCATGTTTTTCTAAGCAACTTTTTATGGTTGGCGTGCTAAGGACATTCCACTTGCAGTTGTTGCATGCATGTGATGTGCAGGATGAACATTAAATATGTGGGGTTAGCATTGTTGGCCAACTTTCTTTCAATTCACTCAAACCCTGTATTGGATCTGTGAAACCATACATCAACTACCATCCAAGTTATGACCGTAGTATATCGCCTTATCCACCATATTGTGTTTAATTCTCGTTCAATTCTTGGTTTTTATTTTCATGTGGGTCTTATGTGTCTAATTATAAAAGAAATACTTAAACTTTAGAAAATAATGTCCCCAAACACTCGTCTAAAATAAACCATATGAGAGAGAGAGAGAGAGAGAGAGAGATGAGAGTAAGTTACAAAAAATTTGGGCCAAAGACAGCTTTTGGGAATAACTAATTTGATTAAAGTATAGAGCAATGAGGGTGATACAATGGAGTTGTGGATTTGTGAAGCCAATTTCATATGTCAGGACATCAATTTTCTGATAACAGTCAGATAATATTCTCACCTGCAACTAAACACACTTAACTACATCTTTACAGGGAAGAACAATATAATAGCTGAGCACTTCAACCGTGTTAACCAACTTGTTCCAACCAAATCGTGCCTCGTCTATGATACAGATGGCAAAATCCCCTCGTATTAGCTGGAGGCCTCGCGCCTGCTAACTTTTTTATTGGCCAAAACAGCCTTGGGAAGAAGTTCTGAGAGTTCCAGTGTTGGCTTTAGAACTTCTATTAAGCTTTAAGTGCACGGCTAGAGACACCATGCAACAATTTGACAAATCCAAGAAAACTTAGTTTTCCATCAGTGTGCCTGATCCAATCATGAAGAACAGCATGAACAGGGACCGAAGGGCCAAGGCCAAGTTCCTGAAATGTAAATTACAAGTTCCATGTAAAGCAACTGCATAGGCACATCAAATTCGCCTTATGTCCTTTTTTTTTAAATAGAAATTTGCCTTATGTCCAATAAAAAAGATATATTTTTTTGGTTGAGTAACATGGCAGTTGACTTGAACTCCCATCCTTTCTAGGGAAAGAGAAGGGCATAACCCTTTTTGCTAAGCCTTCTAGTTAAATTAAAAGACATCTTCTTTTTCAAAAAATTATTAAAAAATGAACATACCGAAGCCAATTCCTCAATGACAATAGCCCTATTTCCATCCTTCTCGAAAAGTTCATAGGCACAACGAGCATGTTGTTCCCATCGATCTAGTGCCTCTAGCTGATGGACACTTACTGTAGCAGCACAGAATTCCTCAAAATCCATTCTTCTATATTGAAGTGAATTAAGCTACCAGAGAGAAGAAAGTATACATCATAAAGAATCCAAATGAGCTCAAAAGAGCAACCAGCAGAAAGCTCAAAGTGCCTACCAATGCTAGAAAATCAGGGATGCGTGACTCTTTCATTGCGTCTGTTGCATTCTTCATCAAGGCCTTACCAGGGTGCATGTGTGTCAGCATTATTCAAAGCACAGAAAGAAGAAAATTAAGCATATAGAGATACCCACTCTTTTGATATTCTCTAAGTTTATAGTCCCATTTTTGCTAGGTTCCAACAGTGCAAACTGCTCCTTCAAATAGTATAGCTCGTCTATTGTTAATGTTTTAGATAGTGCCTGCGAGAATGCCAACGGGTAAGGTTGAAACATATTATGAAATTCAACTAGCTTGATAATTATAAATTGTGATGCTGCGAACAGACTGGTTATGGCTCTAAAGGATTGTAAAAATCAGAAGCACCTGAGCAGGTAGTTGAAATTGAAACTAAATTCATTTCTCCAAAAAGTTAGGTTTTAGCTTCACCCTATCTTTTGTCTTACTTATCACATAATTCTCAAAGTTAGGAAAGAAAGTGATTTAAGTGTAAACAATTCACAATATTTAATACTCATGGACAAGGCTAGAATAAAATTCAAGACTGAGCAGCATGTATACACACCCTTAAAGCAGCTTTACGAAGAGATGATGAACGCATATAAGCCTTCATCAATTTGAATATTAGTATATCAAGAGGCACTTTTAAATCGTTGGAATTTTTCAACCATGGATGACCTGCAACAACACAAAACGCTGAGAACCTTATATACATAACAACAACAGACAAACTTCTTACTGCAGATGAGACACTTACTTAGGGCTTGAGCAGCAGTCATTCTTTTCCGCGGGTCTTTATTTAGGAGCCGCTTAACGAAGTCTCTTGCCTCTGATGATAAAGAAGGCCAGGGTGCTTCATCAAAACTTGGTTCTGCCTTTAAAACAGCCCTAAAAATCCCAGACTCTGTTCGAGCCCAAAATGGACGACTACCACACAACAAAATATATGCGATAACACCTATACTCCAGACATCAGCCTCCGTGCTGTAACATCTATGTAAAACCTCAGGCGCCACATAATATGCACTACCAACGATGTCATTGAGCCTTTCATCTGCAAAGCAAAGAAAACATCAGAAACAAAAGTCAATCGAGCTTTAAAAACAAAAGCCAAAAATGAGTTTGGTACTATGGGATAAACAAACTGAACCTGGCTTCACAAAATCTGACAAGCCAAAATCTATCGCCTTCAATTGTGAGTTCTCATCCTTCGATGTAAACAGAAAATTCTGGTCCACCAAGCAACTACACTTATATAAGAATATATAAATAAAAATAGAAGTACTGCAACTACAGCATGCATTGAGAAATAAGCTTCCAATTCTACAACATCTAAGGATGTCGTTTATTTACATACCATAGTTAAGAGGCATGTCTCTGAATGTCATATGCTACCAAAGGAAGTATCCAAATCGCATCCACTAGTCCTCTAAGATCATATTCACTAAATCTCCATAAAGTCTAGCTAATTTGAGATTATTTAACCTCCCTCTCCAAAAAAAGAAAAAGATTTCTAACCCAACAAGTAATGAGTTTGGTGTAACTGAAAACTTACACAGCTCAGTACAACAAACACCAATTTGCCACAAGATTCATAAGAACAGGTATTCTAGACAAGGTTTCAATATGCTGATTTTAACCTATAAAAACATACAGCGAAGGCCCTGACTTAGCCAGCCATGAAATCACAATAACGACATACTTATGCAGCATAGCAGTTTTTCTCACCAATCACGCCAGGGAACTGGTTCTTAAATATTTTGATTCAGCATATGTAGTGGCTGTTTATTCTCAAGAGATCTCCCAACATTTTTCGATGCATATCACATCTCTCAATGCCTTGCCCTATATGCTAATAGTCCTAATGCCCACCTAGAATAACTCTCAATATATGCTGCACTGTCAGAGATCAAAGCTTAAAACACAAAGAAGTAACTCAAAAAGGATGAGAAAATATATCACCTCAGGTTTAAGATCCCGGTGTACCACACCTTGGAGGTGGCAAAATGCAACAACATTAAGTATTTGTATCATGACAACCTTCGCATCATCTTCTGTATACTTTCCACCCCTGCACAAAAGGAGCATATATTATATAAGCAATCAGCTATCAAACACGAAACATTTGCTTTTCGCTCCATGATTAGCATTCCCAGTTAAGGAGCTTCAGAAAAACAGACTTTAAATATAGTTGACTGAAGTAGTACCTTGAAAGTATTCTATCCAAGAGCTCTCCTCCTTCACATAACCTGAAAGATGTGCAATAATTTATTAAAATCCTTGGGAAAAAGGAATGCTAACAGCCTTCAAAGGACAACTAACAATATAATCACTCATTAATAAGCAATTAGATGGCAACAATTTCACGGAATTTGAACTAAGAGAAGTGCTAAAAATAAAAAGCTTACTCCATTACTATGTAGACATTATCATGGTCCTCATATGCATCGTAGAACTTCACAAGATTGTTATGCCCAGTCAGAGCTCTCAATATTTTTACCTCCCGTCTCACATCCTCAATGGCTATGGGTGTGGTCATCTAATAACAAAAATGGAAGTAAAAATGAGCAAACACATTACCATATAAGGTGCCCTAAAAGCCCCACAGAATTCCATGAGTTCAGATTGCAGATATTTCCTCACTACTAAGCAGCAAATATAGAAAGGCCATGTTCCATGAAAATTATTACGTCTGAAATACAGAAACTACAAAATTCACTTCCTACATTCGAACAATTGTGCGATTGCATTTGCAGATAGACAAACGACCTGCTTTCAATCAGGCAATAATCATGAAAAAACAATTATTTGTTTCCTACTCATGATCGCTCCGAGATACGAATTTAAGCCCAACCAGCACAGAGATCTCATCTAGGACATGAAAATATGGTGTTGAGCATAGCAGATACGAACGAAGACGCACATACCTTCATGTACTTGTGCATGAAATCAGTTACTGGATCATCAAGAATTATCGAGCAAAATCCAAATTTAAGAACAAAAATTAAAGTTCAACCAAGCATATGTTTATACAAACCTTCGACTTGGGTATAACCTTGACAGCAACTTGTTGCCCCTTGAGCTCGCCCTTCTTAAACTTGGCTGCACAAGTGTATCCGAAATGTCCTCTTCCGACCTCCTCCCCTAGCTCGTACTTGGTAGCGAAATGCTTCGAGAACCCGAAGCTTTTATCCAACCCCGCACACACCTCCGCCTCGCTACCTTCGGGGATCGCCGCTCCATTCGGCTTCACCGAACCGTGGCGGCGAGCGAGCACCGAGCGTATGTGCTTAGCCGGCGAAGGAGGCGGGAAGGGCCGCTTGAAGAAGCGCTTAGGAGTCGAATTGGAGCTGGCATTCGAGGGGGATCTCGCCGGAGACTTCTTAGAGAAGAAGTAGTGAGCTGGACTCGGACTGTAGAAGGAGAAAAATGGCGATTTCTTGCCTTCATTGTTGGTGACGTTTTCTTTATTGCTGGTGTTCTCTTTGGCTTGATCTCTACTTCCAAGGTTCTCACCATTGACGGAGCTGGATGGAGGCTTAGGGCTATCCTTGACGGGAAGAGGGCTGTTCTTGACGCCATCCCGAGCGCGTATGGGAATGTTGTTTCCCGGGTTATGGTCAGATTCAGGAGAGTTGGGATTTGGGGGAGGTTTGGAGTTGCAGATACCCATTTGGAAGATTGTTGTCTCCCCAAACAGAGTGTTCAGGGGAGATTTAAAACCCTCTGGCTAAAGCATAGTCTATGGATAACGAATCCTACCAGTAGACTTTTAAAACTTGAAAAACCTTTTCACATAAAAAAAAAAAAAAAAAAAAAAAAAAGGAAAATTGAACGATTTCATATTTCGGTTCAAAAATTTCTGTGGAAAATTAAGCTTGTCTCTGATGATTTCAAGTGTGTTAAAAAGAAGAATGGGAGATAGGGATCTACAGATGCTGAATAAAAGGAAAACGACGATAGCTTCGCTTTCTATTTTTTCTGTTTTTATTTTTATTTTTATTAGGTTTTAACTAAACGCATTAAACTATGAATATTTTATTATTTTATTAATAATAAAATTAGTTGGGTAACGTGGGCCCCGCTAAAGTGGTCCCCGCAATTGTGCAGTTAACTTCCACTTGGGATGTAAAACGGGGACCGTTGCTTACCGTTTAAATTTTTAGTTTCCTTAATTTATTTTATATAATACACAACTAATTAAAATTATGTTTCTTAATCAAGGCTTTATACGGACGTGAGAAGGGATTAAGAAATTTCCTCCCTTTGTTTTGTTTCATTAAAAAAAAAAAAACAAAAACTTAATGCCGCCAAAGTCAAAACGCGGCGTTTATTCAACTTGCTTCCCGCACAAGGATACTTGCCGTGCAGTACCACCAAGACCTCCACAAGTTAAGACCATCAAATTACCTAACAAAGATATCGCGTGTGTGATTAAATTAATTTGGATTATTAACAGATTTGGCCTAATTAAACTCGTCAAACTTTGTTAATACATTTGACATACTTAATAATTACGTGAGGTCAACGACAATGGTCAATTGGAAGAAGAAATAATGGCAGGTACGTACGTCTGTGTGGTCTTGAGCGCTAAGCAAAACGCATTTTGTGGCGGCAATTCAAATAACGCCTGCGGCTCAAGGTGGTCAACGGAACCAGTCGAATCAAAAAGTCAACCAAAAACCCTTACTATTTATTTAATTCCATCTTAAATCCTGGTTTATTATTATTATTTTTATTAATTTTTTTTTACTATTCCGCATTGTCGTTCAAATTTCAAATGGCAGTAAAATTAATCAGGCCGATATATTGTATTGATTGCCTGACAATTTGAATTTTTCAGATCACACGTGTAAAAGAATGCAATCAGATAATTACACGTGTAATAATTGACGATGAACTTTGATTAATCTTAAAATTTTTATCCAAATAATTAAATGAAACAATATCTTATAATAGCATTATATTTTCAAGTAAATTTTATTTAAAATAGAAAGAGTACGGTTGAATACATATTATTAAACAATCATAAAATTATTGTATTAAAAAGAAAATAAATCATAATGTGAAAAAAAAAATAAATGAAAATATGAGAGAGGAAACAAATTAAGTTAAATGATAAAATTACACAATTAATAGTAGTTAATTTTATATATTTTTTTTTTAATAAAAAATTTACATATATAGCATTCAATAAAATATATATCAATTAAAAAAAAAATTATTGTTAATATGATATCAAAACTTTAGATTAATATTTTTTTTAACAGTTTTTATTACTAAAATAAATTTGTTAAGCCATCATAAGATCGACCACCTCCACAACTAATTGATTTTCATAAAAATTGTCCTATAAGTCACCACTTCTTCCTTTATTACTGTAGTTTCTAATTGTCGCAATTACTAAAGACACCATCCTTAACTTATCTCTACGGCAACTGACGATGCATAAATAGTCACGTGTTAGCTTCTAGTACTTTTGTCGTACCACTGATCCAAATCTAAGCATAAAATTGAGTAAAGATTTTTGTGTAAGAATATCGTACTAAAAATAGTTTTTATGTAGATATTTGTATATTTATTTCTTCATCCTGAAAAAGCATGTTTATACATTACTATAATATTTAATAAAATAATAGAAGTTAAACCTATTATAATTAAACTGTAACCTAACTTTTAAAATTCCTAAAGTAATAAAATCATTTTGAAAACTGAATTTTTTTTTTTTTTTAAAAAAAAGACCAACTATATGATTGTAGTATGTAGAGCTGAAATTGGTTCAAATTTTGAGATGGGATTTTGAAATTTGAAAGTAATTTATTTAATGATGAACATGGGAAAAGTAAATGTATGTAGATATATGTGTAGGCAGTTGAGACAGAGAGGGGTTGACCTGTGCTGTGATATAAATGATGATTATATGTAATGGGCATTTTTCCTTGTTTTCCTCCTGCCTCCATATTAAAAGCAGCCACTTTGCAAATTGCTTCCTCCACTTTCTTTCTTTCTTTCTTTCAACAACTTCTTTTATTTTTTAACCCACAACAAAAGTGAATCTAATCTATAACCCACATACTGCAATCATATAATATAATCTGCCATGTGATTTATTTGAGTTCTTTAGAATTCATATTATTTTAGAATGGAAAAACTTTCATTTCAAAGGGTGGTTTTTGCTTGTTTCCCACGAATATTTTATTTATTACCTAAATATATTTTTGGCAGTAGTGAATATGACCCTACTAGTAACTCCTTACACGAGACCAATATTTATACGTTTCCCGGTCAATAAATATTCAAAAAGTCAAACTTTCTGTTCCAACTCACGTAAGCACGAATCCACCGTCGTTTAGATTTGATGATATATCAATACAAATAAATTAATAAAATGTATTATTATTATTTTTAATTAAAAAAATGGGTAAAGAGAAGATGTCAGTTTGGGTGTGACAACAACCTTTCCATTTTATAAGCACTTGATCCGCATGCTTACCTCCTCCTCCTCCACAGAAACGTGGCCCCCTCCGTAGAAAAGTTTCTGTCCTGGTTTCCCTGGATTCTTTTGTACAACACACGAATAAAAATTTGATTAATAATAAAAATGAGAATCAATATCTACACACACACACATATATATATATACACACACGTATGTATGTATGTGTATAATGAAAGAGGAAAAAAAAATGAAAGTAAATAAAAAGAAAGAAGTTGGCAAGATTTTGACGGATCCCTGTGCAATCATGATTCTACCTTATCTCCTGTTTCTGCAACTGGATGTCTCTATTATACATAATATATATATATATATAGAGAGAGAGAGAGAGACACACACACACACATATACACATGCTGCTAGCACCATCACCTACATTAGCCCAACCCAATATGATGGATAATCATCATACCCATTTATTCTTATTATTATTACCTTCCCTCAATATCCAATTGGGAGCCCACAAGTCTCTCTCTCTCTCTCTCTCTCTCTCTCTCTCTCTCTTTTTTCCCCCCGAAAATCATTCATTCACATAGTTAATAGTACTTAAATACCAAATAAGCTATATTTAGAATTTTTTCAAATTATTATAGAAAATAGGTTGACGCACCGATTCACTAAAGAGTGATCCGGTGCGTTCGAGCTCATGTAAGCTCGAGCAGAGCAGGTATTTAAACTCATCTTCTTCTTTTTTTTTTCGAAAAATCCTAATTTTCTCTCTTCTCTGATACTACCGACGGACACCGAAAGCTTTCAGTTTGCTTTATTTTCTTGCATTTTGTTTAAAATATATTTATTCTAGTTCATGCCATAACTGATGTGCTGTTTGAGCATAAAACTTAGTATCAGGTGATAGTGCATTCTATATCCAAATAATTACCATATCATTGCACTGTTTCTAGTGCGTTCTCAATAGGTTCGTTGGATCTGTAGGTTGTATTAGGGTTCCATCTATAAACCCTATTTTGTTTTGTATAGTCAATGTTCGCTCTATGAAAATTATCCATATGTAATAGTTGCTGTCATTAAACAGTTTCAGGACAAGAACCACCATAGAATTCAGTGATTTTATCAAAGATAATATGGGTTGTCGACATTTGAAGGATCCAGGTTTGTTATAGCCAAATTCCTAAACTTTGGGTTCGGGTTTGCAATAGTTTGGTAAGAAATTTAACTCTCTATTTCTAATATGCTCTTATGCCATGAAAGAAAATGAAGTTCACCATTCAAGCTATCCAGAAATCAACACTTTTATATAAAAAATAACAAGTAAAGTTGAAGGAAAATACCAGATCGTGCAGGTGATTCTCGGTGAGAACGGAAGAGAGTGAATGGAGAGAAAAACTCGATGAAAGCGGAAGGCAAGGAGGCGAGCAAAGGGAGAGAGAAGCTCGATGAAGGCGAAAGGCGCGGAGGCGAGTGAACGGAGAAAGAAGCTCTTCGCGGGACTAGGTGTGCGATGTGTGTGTGTATTCACCTGCAAACAACCAAAAATGAAATGCAAGAAAACAAAGCAAACTGGAAGCTTTCGGTGTGGTATCAAATTAAGCAGTCAATATCTGTACTCATGCAAAACCAAGAGTCAATACAGGCTTATTTTTCACAGCTCAAATTTTTTATTAATGAACTCGTAAATTATGAACTCATTCCCATCTACACATGTGAGAGACTTAAACTGATTATTAGGTACCAGGAGGATCACACAATGAGGTTTTTAATGGGACTTAATAAGTCATATGACAACTTGACGTCCCAAATCTTGGCAAGGAAGCCTCTCCCTAGTCAGAACAAGATATTTTCTATCATTCAACAAGAGGAGAAAATGAAAGAAATTTCTTTAAAGTTTGTCACCAACCGGGCTATGGCCTTCAACATAAGAGAGGCCAATAAGCCACATAAAACTGCCAGCCTAAATAAGGAAAAGTATTATTGTACCTATTGCAAGAAGACTAGACACTCTTTGGAAAGATACTTTAAGGCCAATCCAAATAGACCTGTATGCACCAATTGCAATTTGTTAGGACATACGACTGAGGTATGATATAGAGATAAGAACCAACCAAAATGATAAAGGACCCAAAACAAGATAAGACAACCCATTATCAATCATGTATCCTCCGTTGATGCACAAACTGTACTCAAAGGATAAGAACATAATCTATTGACAAAAGATCAACTCCAACTTATGGCATTTATTCAACAAAGTCAAGTTACTGTCAATATGGTACAAGCAACTTTAGATCAAATTTAGGATCAGAAATTCACTGTATTCTTTGGTGTGTTTTCTTATTTCAATATGTGCACAATAAATAAAAATATCAACACATACACCACTTGGATAATTGATATTGGAGCCTTAGATCACATAGTACACACACTATAATTATACACTAAGATAACATCGAATGTTAAATCTAAAGTTGTATTATTGAATGAAGAAAGTGTAGATGTGTCTTATAAGAATAGTAAAATTAAGTGGTAAATTTCTGTTAAACAATGTGCTATGTGTGCACTCATTTAGATTTAATTTAATATCTGCAAAAAAGTTAACACATGATATTAGGTGTTGTATAATTTTTTTTACAACAACACTGTGTCATTCAGGACCTTTTGACCTAAAAGACACTTGGGATAGACGAGATTAAGGATGAACTATATCAGTTTAAACAAACTTAGAATTCAAAAAATGTAAGTCAGCAAATCTTTACAGGAATGACACTACAAAGCTCTAGCAAATAGGAGATAGACTTTGATTTGTGGCACTACAGGCTTTGACACCCTTCATTTAAATCTAGTTTTGATTTTGATATATTAGCAAACAAAAACTCTAAGTTATGTTATGTATGCCCATTGACAAAGATGTATAAACCTTCATTTTTTGATAGTAGTAATAATGCAGAACGATGTTTTGATTTGATACATTAAGATATTTGGGGACCTTGTAATAAAATTTCTTATGATAGTTTTAGATATTTTTTTAACTATTGTTGATGATTTTACTAAATGCACTTGGGTATATATGATGCAAAGTAAGACTGAAATATGTTCACATTTGCAACATTTTTGCACCTTTGTTGAGACCCAATTTGACAAAAAAGTAAGAGTAATTAGAATTGATAACGGAAGAGAATTCAAAATGAAGAGATTTTACGATAAGAAGGGAATCATGCATAAAAAAAGTTTTGTAGAAACTCCATAACAGAATAGGAGAGTGGAGAGAAAACATCAACAACTACTCAACACTGCAAGGGTGTTAAAATTCCAAAGTGGAATAGACACCAAATATTGGAGCGATTTTGTTCTCACTACTGCATATTTAATTAATAGAACACCCTCCTCCGTGTTAAATGGGAAGACACATTTTGAGATTTTGCATGGACAGAACCAAATTATAGTCATCTGAAAATATTTAGGGGCTTAGCCTTCACATCTACTTTATTGAGTGGAAAACGAAAATTCGATGCAAGAGCAAGAAGATATGTGTTCATAGGATATCCTTTTGGTATAAAGTGATATAAATTGTTAGATGAAGAGACTGGTGAGGTCTTTATTTTTAGAAACGTAATATTTCATGAAAATATATTTTCTTACAAGGAAATGAAATGCATAAAGGATATGTAAACTATACATGAGTCTATGAATATATTGATAGATGAACTAGAATCAAATACCTTTGTGCACAATAGCATCAGGGACCAAGTGATGGGTCAAGATAGCCCAATTATGGAGGTTAGAGACCTCGCATAGATAGAAGAAGTATCCAACAATCAAGAAATGATTGATGAGAAGGAGAAAGAAAAGAAGATCGTATGAATGACGATGAGATTCTAAAGAGAAAATCAATAAGGACAAAGAGGTCACTAGAGTACTTAAGGGACTATATATGTGATCATATTCAAGGGAACAGTGATTGCATAGAGCTGTATGAACCACAAGTCTGCAATGATGGTGTAGTTCCCCTATCAAGCACAGTTGCATATAGTAGACTTAGGGGGGGGAAGGGGCATAAGAAGTACATACTTGCTGGCATCCCACAATGAACCAAGTTCATATGAGGAGGCCAGCAAAGACCTAAATTGGAGAAATGCCATGGAAAACGAACTCCAAGCTCTTGAAGAAGACAAGACTTGGAAAGCAGTTGATTTACTGGAAAAGAAGAGAGCAATAGGATGTAAGTCGGTCTACAAAGTGAAATTTAAAGCAGATAAAACCATTGAAAGACACAAAGCTAGACTTGTTACTAAGGGCTTCACTCAAATAGAAGGTCTAGACTATCACGATTCATTCTCACCTGTGGCCAAAATCGTCTCCGTAAGAGTATTGTTGGCTCTAGCTGCAATCAGATAATGACATCTTCAACATTTAGATGTCAACAACACTTTTTTATATGGAGATTTAAATGAGGAAGTGTACATGGAGCTTCTTCCTCGACATCCTAAAAGGAAAAAAAAGAAAGTATGTAGACTTCAAAAGAGCTTATATGGGCTTAAACAAGCATCCAGACAGTGGTATGCCAAATTTTCTGAGTTTATTACTCACAAAGATTCAAGCAATCCAAGGTCGACTACAGTTTGTCCGTGAGGACCAATGACAAAAGTTTTACCGTACTACTTGTACATGTTGATGATATTATTGTAACAGATAATGATGAATTGAAGAATTAAAGATAACATTGGATAATAAATTTAAAATTAATGATTTAGGAAACTTAAAGTATTTCCTTAGCATTGAAATTGCTAAGTCAAAGAGAGGAGTTCATATATACAAAAGGAAATATGCCTTAAACCTTTTAAAGGATGCAGAGGTTTTAGGAAGCATGACCTCATCGCTCCCATTGGACCAGAATATTAAACTTTCAAAAGTAACATGTCAGTCACATAATATTGGTTCGGTAATTTTAAAATTTATTTAAAATTTGTCGGTTAGATACTATTTGTTACAATTGAAAGTTGAAATAAACATAATTTTTTTTACACACATACAGTACCATATATTGAAATTTAAAGTAGACTGTTAAATCCAATTCGAGAAAAGATACATAATGGAAGTGTTGAAACCAAGCATCTTAGCAGCAAGAACCATGGCAGACATCTTCATCCAAAATACTTTTCAGCGGACAATTGCATAATTATCTATTCAATAAGGAGTAGAAAACATCTATTCTCTATTTTGTGGAGGGACGTTGAGAAACGAGTTAAACCAACTCCAGTGGAGGATCGAAAAAGGAAACACAGACCTTCATTAAAAGGGGCATTGAAGATAATGTATGTATACACGTACATATAGATTGTTTAGGGTTTTATGAGAATAAAGCATGTGCGGTGCAGGCGTACGTCTACTCTTTTCCTTCAACCATATTTAAACGTTCTTTTTCTCATTTGAATGTTGTGTAGAAGAATGCAGAGAGAGAGAGAAAGAGAGAGAATAAAAGTTTCAAACCCTATCAAGGTTTCTTCGATGATTCACATGCTCTTGATTTTCTTGATGGATTTCTGTTAGATCTTGTGTGTCCCCTTTTACGGGTGTGTAAGAAGACTATGCTTGTATGGGTTTCTGTGTGAAGATTTACAGGAGCCATAGAAATCAAGGCTTGGAGACCTAGATCTATTGCATCCTCCTTTCCTGATAAGAGATCTTCCGCTATCTCATAATATTATCGAACGTCGTTTAATTTATTTCACATTATTTCAGTTTTATATAAAATTATAGCTAAATTCTCTTCATATCATTTCAACTTTTTAAGCCATTTTTTTTAGTAGAATTAAGTGTCAATTACAGATAAATCCCACAAAAATTTTGAATTTGTGTCAGATATAACTTTTAATATAAAACAAAAAATTATTCCCCCACATGGTTAACAATACTTAAAACCAAATATGCTAAGTTTAGGATTTCCATAAATTATTAGAGTCGTCCGCGAACAATATTGGTGTTGCGATGACATGTATCCTGGTGGAACAACAAAGAGGCGCTACCTCTAAATTCTAAATCGATTTGAACCATCTTAATACAGTAATGAAAAGTAATGTTTTTGTTCAGTAAATCTAAGATCGTTGCAGGTAAAATTTGGCCGGCATAATCTCTAGCACAGTCCTCATCACTAGCATGAATTATCCAGATGTTCTGTCACCCCCAAAAGCTGACTCCAGATACCCTGTTTCTCCAAGATGACTGACATCACCCCAGGTTTTTAATACCCATTTGTCTCCATCACATATGTGAAATATGTTCACAGACACGTTTCGAATCTTCCCTGCAGACTTTCCGTTCGGGCAAGCTCGCTCATATAGTGATCGAATGACACCGCCGTGGGTGACCACAAGAACTCGTTCTCCTGTGATAGCAAGAAAGAAGAATTTTCAAAATGACTTTCTGATGAAATATTGTTACTGTGATCGTCGCTATTTTGCATGCTGTTAACGTCTTTTTAAACACTTTAGACGGTGTGAATAGGGATCAGACCACCACCTTGTTGGTCTACTAGTATCCCAAATAACCTCTGTCACAATTTTGCAGAATAAAAATATTTGCTTCTAAAATACACCCTGATAAAATAGAAAAGATTAATGACAGCATACCTTGATACTTTCTACCAATTTTCTCCAGTACAGAAGTACAGCGATCATAAAGTTGATCAAGACTTTCTCCACCACCCTGCATTTGCAGACAATTGGATTAAGTACTGCTTGCCATGTGCATGCATAAATTCCACAAGTAGTTCTTCCTCAAATTTACTGGCTGCATAGGCCACTGAGCTGATGATAGGCTATGTATAGGTTTAAAGAACTGATGGAGGTGTGTGTCTATATAGAAACAAAAGCACATGCCTGTATATATACCCTAAATCCACATGTAAAACAAATATATAAACAACCACTACTATTTTACAACACTAAGCCAAGTTCTTCCAACAGTCCAAGTTAAATCCCTTCTCTTTTGGATTCCGCAGAATACGGCTATGCCAAAGTTGAAGCAACAATGCAGGAGAACCTAGCTAATTAGGGAAACAACAGAATAAAAGATTGAAAGGTAAACAATGTGGAAATATATCATTTTATCTTGAACGTACAGAACCAAAATTGAGGCTGAACGTACAGAACCAAAATTGAGGCTTACTTTGGGCCAAACATTTGCATAGACATTTAACATCCACTCCTACATGGTTTTCTCATTTATATTTTTCCTCTTGGGGAGGAGAAGGGTTGTCTTTTTCATGCAGAAAAATGTCAAAAACCAGTGACCTATTCAAATTTACTCTAACTTACAGGGATTTCTTGGTCCGTCCTGTGAGACAAAAGTGCCTTATAAGCCTCAGGACTGTGTTTGGCTTCATGGAAAGCAACACCTTCCAGGTCCCCTAAACACCTTTCCCGTAGGCCTGGGTCTTTGATAACCTGATATTCATGTTTACCAAAAGAAGTTCAAACTAAAAAGAATTAAGCTAGGAGGTCAAAGGTTGAAACAATTAATTGATTAAACCAGGCTTCACAGAAAACTAAAATTTAAGATGTTAAATGAAACTTGTCATGAGAAAGAGATAGTTTTCATGTCTTGTTCACCACTAAACCTACAATGTGTAGTAAGAGAAAATTCATGGACAGGAAAAAGATAGGGAGGTGGGAAATGCAAACAAAGATTTTGAGTAAAAAGTCGAAAGGCTCAACTAGATCATAGCCACATAGAGGACTGTTGGTAATGAAGATCAGCATCATCATCTCCATGTCTTTGTTTAGTAATAAGATATATAAATTTTCTAAAAGTTACTTTGTCTAGATTTAGACCTCAAGCCCGCCGCATCTGGTTGCAATTATCTCTGCTGTCTCAAGAGCTCGCTTCAAATCAGAAGAATATACCCAAGATATTTTGGGCTCCTTGGATAGCCGATCAGCTAACTTCACTTAGTGAAGAAAGAGAGAGCATAAAATAGAAAAAATAAAAAAAATATATTAGTATGAGAAGTAAGTAAAAGCATGTGAAATGCAAGTGACACTAAATGAGTACATACTGAAGCTGCTTGTTGCCTTCCAACTTCATTTAATTCAATATCTATATGTCCCTGTTCATGGTAATAATACATTAAAAAGAAAGTCAAATTCAGAACTTTCTTTATATAAATAGATTAAAATTGGCGTTTTAAACAAAAACCCAGCAAAAGTTAAGAGGCAGGTTAAAAGTATAATCCAATTAAGGGAAGGCAAAGCAATAGAGCTAAAGATCGTGAAAGCCCAATCATGAACTTCCGTAGAAGTAAATCAAGACAGCAAAAGATAGAACTCCCAGAGGTATTTAGACAAGGAAGCTACTGTTAATGAGAATAGAGGATAATGTGATAGCATTGATAAGATTACTGCTAAATCTACCATCGAAGGTGTTATTCATTGTTATTTGTCATCTCATGTACTACATGCTATCTTGAAATGGGAGCTTTGAGATATGAAATTAAGTCAATGGATCTGTCCAAGTTCCAAGTAGGATAACATACAATCATCCTTTTGAAATCCCTCCAAATTTAAAATTTTTAGCAAATGGACAGACAGAGACTGTTCCATTTCACATTCATTCTAAAAGCACTAAAGATAAAACCAAAAAAGTTTTAGGCAGCCTAACTCTAACTGTGTTGTACCAGAAAATATTTCTTGTTACTCTATAAGAATCATATCTTAATTAGTAGCAACTCTTCCATTTCCTGTCGATAGAATATACCGAAGATTGCCTTACCCTCCTTTTATTGTATTTTTCTTCCCTTATCTTAACAAATCTTTGTATTTTAAAAAGAATCTCTCATGGAATATTAGAATGCTGTGGAGAGAAATGCCTCTATCAGAATCATATCCTAATTTTGAAAGATTATGGTGCTGTGATTGTCGTTGGAGAGATATCTTAAACTATTTAAAGATCATTTCTAACCTCTTCTGCTACTTTGTGATCGATTGGCTTTTTGTCTCTTTGATCAAGACTTATGGACCTTATAGAATATCTCTTATGGCTATTTTTCAAAGAGATTGAGCAGCAGTTTCATATTAATTTTTTTCATCATCTCTTTCTTTGCAAGGAGAATCTCTACTCAGTTGATATACTTCTTGCTCCACTAATATTTAATTTTTATTAACGAAATATCTTATTGGTTTTTTACTCTACCTAGCATCTTTTTTAGTTGCAAAATTGGGCTCGGACAGCTAGAATTTGCAAGCAAAGTTCGAAAATTTTTCATTTTCTAACTACATCACACAATCAGTTCATTCAAAAATACCTTACTGGTTTTTTACAACATGCAAAATCTCTTCAATTAGGAATTTGCCTAAAACACAAAATTCACATGCATTTGGAAGCAAAAACGAACTACCAGAAACAGATAGCCGGAGCTCAAAACGTCATCGAGAGAATCCAATAATGGCGTAGTAAATTTCAGATGAGCAAACTTCAAAAAAGAGTGCACAAACCATCTCCACATCATACCATACAACACGAATCACCCACGCCATAGAAAGACCTAAAATTTCAGTTCATTCACCGCACATATTCGAATCAATTCGAATTAACAAATTGCGTGACAACAAATCCAGTTTACACCCAAAAAAATATCGCTTAAATAATTCAAAATTTTCAATAGTGCTGCAACAAAAACATTACCTGAATTCTTCTCTCGGCATTCCACGATGTTTCACCATGACGGACCACGATAACTTCGGCAAAAGCAGAGCTGTCAATCACATTAGACCATCAAAATTACAGAGCGATAATCAAA